ACACACAGACACACACACACACAGACACACACACTCACACACACACACACACACACACAGAGAGACACACACACACACACACACACACAGAGACACACACACACACACACACACAATTGACTGACTCCCACTCTGCAGTAATGATGCTCTGGTGAAGCAGCAGCATCTCTTGTTGCCATGGTGACCTGCCATCGTTTTCAGCTGAGTCAGCACTAACGAGTGCACTAACTGTACTGCACTGAGATCAGGAGGAAGTTACTGAGAACTGATGGCGCTCAGAGACCAGTGATGCTGCAGGATCAGATGTGGATGAGTGTGTGTGTGTGTGTGAGTGTGTGTGTGTGTGTGTGTGTGTGTGTGTGTGTGTGTGTGTGTGTGTGTGTGTGTAAAGCAATGGCTACCGTCAACTGTTTGGTTATCTTCAAAATATCTTCTTTTACATTCCACAGAAGACAAACTCGTACAGGTTTGGAACAACATGATTGTGAGTAAATGATGACAAAATTGTAATTTTTGGGTGAACTATCCCTTTAATAAAACTTATGGTGAAATTCAACCCTAACCCAAACTATTAAAAAAATGTACAATTACAAACAATTCAAGGTATGCCTAATAAGCTTTTAATGGATAGAAAATACTTGTGCGGATGACATAAGATTCTTTGTTTTTTAATTCACTAGCAACAGTCCTGCAGAGACCGCCAGTCTGTTACCATAGAGACGGTAACTCTAGCAGTGCCTCTCCATCACAGCATCCTCACTCCGTCTCATCATCAGCACAGCTTCATCATCACATGAGTATAAATTGAGTAAAGTAAAATATTTTTAATACAAGCATTTCAGTCAAATATAATTCATGCAATATGTCCAGCCTTTAACCCGTAATAAAAATAACCCGCAACAGCAGTTTAAAAGTAGCCCTCGGCAACCCTGCCATACGTCGTCCGCCCGTAATGTCATCAACAACACATGCAGGTCCTCTGTACTTGAGGTCTTGAGTTTTGGGACTCTTCCAGAAAGTTGTTTTGAACCCCTAAAACATAGAATTGAAGGCTTTGACATTGGTTTTCATAGCTGCTGCTGCTGGAACAGCTCCTCCAAGTATATACTCGCTGCTGCAGCTCAGGTCACTGAATGAGCGATGTCTTGTTCCTTCACACGAGAAACAAAGACGCTTTCCAGACCCTTCACTCTCTCTGCTCCTCTCTGCTGGAGTGAGCTTCTAACCTCCACCCGATCTGCTCTGACCATCTCTCAAGAGGCAGCTGAAGACACTTTTTCTCAAGCACATCACCACTGCATACCCTTAAACCAATGCACTTGCTCAAAAACGGTTTCTCTTCTCTGAATCCCTGCTTTTGCTTGTTTCCTAATCTAGCAATCTAATAAACATGGCATGCATTAGGAATATTACTGGCTCTGAGCCAAATTGCTCATGCTCCTCTATTGTAAGTCGCTTTGGATCAAACAGTCTGCTAAATGCATAAATGTAAATCACATCAGCAGTGATCACTGCCTGTCTCTCATGCTTTCTCCATTGTCACTGAACACAAATGACTTCTGGTGGCTTTGTTCCTGCTGAACGCCATGAAGAGAAAAGTCAGATCAGCCTTATGTCTTCATACTCCCAAGGCCATGCACTCCATCTAATTCATCATAAAGCTCAGTACTGAGTGCAACAGTAAAGACCTTAAGAATCATCTGTGTGCTCGGGGCGAGAGTCCAGCTCTTCTTTTTGAACGACTATGGCTAATGCATCTGTGTTGACAGAGAGCAGAGACGTCGTTACACAAGACATGACGTCACACTGGAGTACAGATGAAGCGCTCAGAGAATCATGATGTGTTTCTACACTAAAGAAGAGACCGTTCAAACGGTGTGTTTCTAGGGACAAGGGGAAGGGGTAGGTGAAGGGGTCTAAAATAGAATTAGGATTGGGATTTACTATGCTGTATGCAAGTTCAGCTAACTCAAAAACTTGCATACACGAGCTGAGACCTGACATGAGATTTGATCGTAGCCACCGCTCACGTCCATATTGATTTCTGTACTATCTTGGATTCTGTACTAACTGAAGTTTGTAAAGAAGTTTTGAAGGTAGACCATAAAAGAGAGCATAGCAATAATCAATTCGAGATGTGACTAAAGCATGAACAAGAATCGCTGTGCTCCTTACTGAGAGAGCAGAACGAAGTCGATTAATGTTACGTATATGGAAATATGCAGATCGAATGACACTGTTTATATGTGCTTCGAATGACAATGTAATATCAAAGATAACACCCAAAGTTTTAACCTGTTTGGAGACAGGCACTGGAAAATTATCAATATTTACTGAAGAACAATTAGACTTAGCCAGATTGGTTTTTGAGCCAACTAGGGGAATTTCAGTTTTACTACTATTTAGTTTCAGAAGATTCGATGTGAACCACTCTTTAATCTCAGCTGCACAGTCTGAGAGGATAGACGGAGGAAACATAGAGGTAGGTTTGGAGGACAGGTAAAGTTGGGTGTCATCAGCATAGCAGTAAAACTGAATACCCAACTTCTTAAAAATATTACTAAGAGGTAGGAGATAAATAATAAATAAAAGAGGTCCGAGAACTGAGCCCTGGGGAACCCCAGTAGTAACGTATGAAGGCTTTGATGTAAACTGCTTCAACTGCACAAACTGAGTGTGACCTGTTAAATAAGATCAAAACCAGGTCAGAGCAGTACCCATAATTCCAATAGACTCCAATCTGTCCAACTAAATACTGTACGAAATACTGCACTCAGATCTAGCAAGACAAGTATACATAGAAGTCCTGAATCAGCAGCAGACAAGTCATTGGAAATCTTAACTAATGCAGTCTGAAGTGGACGGAAACCTGATTGGAATTGCTCATATAAGCTATTATCCGAAAGATGATCCTGAAACTGTGCAGCAACAACCCTTTCCAATATTTTAGAGAGAAACGGTAGATTTGAGATGGGGCGCAAATTATCAAAGTTACTAGAATCAGCCCCCGGTTTCCTAGGTATAGGAGTTATCACAGCAGGTTTGAGTACAGATGGAACAATACCAGAAGCAAGCAGTGTATGATATTACTAATTAAAGAAGAGAGAGAAGGTAAACAGGCTTTAACCAAATGCGTTGGAATAGGATCCAAACGACAAGTAGTAGATTTCGATTTGTGAATACAACGGACCACTTCCTCCGGGAATATTGAGACAGAGTCTTGGCTTACGGAGCAGGACTTGGACAGCGATCTGTTTATTGGTGGATTCGGTATTCCAACTCGTCCGGATCGGAAAGCAGTATTTAGAAATGGAGGAGTTAACAGGATAGATTTTATAAAGGATTTGGCCAACACTACAATTTAGATGTCTTAAATGTCTGCATTTCAGAAATTTTACATAAATTACATTTTTAGTTATGATAACACTACCAAACAAATTAAACAGGAGGTCAAGTCGCAACGACTGAATGTAGCATACTAATGTAGCATACTACCATTTGAAATGTTAGAATATCACTATTTGCCCTGCTGAAAAAAACTATAGAAACCATCACAGAAATTCAAACATGTTTCACTACAAATGCAATAACAAACCATCAACTTTCAACCATTAAAACCATTTAAAATATGGTTTTCAGTAGTGTATTTTGGGACATATTCCATTAGGATTTATTGGTTTTAACAAGCCACCAATAGAAGGCAACCAATTACCAGCAGAGACCCACAGGGTCCATTACAGTTTCCATTAAAACCAGTACAATTCCCATCATAACCAGTAAATCCATTACACATTTTGTGATAATGTCTGGGTTTTTTCCAGCAGGGTGGAGGCAGTATGCAGTATGCATCAATAAACGCTTCAAACACTTACAAATGCTTCAAAGTAGTATGCAACATTGTTGTCACATGAGATCATTACAGAAATGTTAGATTATTTAGATCAGATTATTTAACATTTGTATCCAGTTTTGTGTAAAGCATCTTCACTTTTGGTGGTCTGAGTCAAAAAAGATGTTAAGAAATCACAGGTGCTACACTTCCAGCTCAGTTGTCACACTGGAAATAGAAGGTCAAGTCAAGTACGTTGCACTGTGGGATACAGTAGTGCACATAGTGTACTGCACATTTCAGCAAACATATTCCATGCATACTGAAAATGCACACGCTGCAGAAATAGCAGGACTGGTATGCTAGTATGCTGAACACGTTTGTGTATTTGAGTGCAGGAAAAAGTAGCTTCAATATAATCCAGTAACGTGTGTGTGTGTGTGTGTGTGTGTGTGTGTGTGTGAGAGTGTGTGTGTGTGTGTGTGTGTGAGAGTGTGTGTGTGTGTGAGCGTGTGTGTGTGTGAGAGTGTGTGTGTGTGAGTGTGTGTGTGTGGGGGGGGGTGAGGGTGTGTGTGTGTGTGTGTGTGTGTGTGTGTGTGTGTGTGTGTGTGTGTGCGTTAGT